TTTTTTTTTTTTTGTATTTGTTAATGGTTTATTTATCAAGAGAAACTATTCCTCAGCCCACATATTCATAGCTCAGGAACACAGGTGTCAGTGGAAATTTCTATGTAAATCAACCCAAAGAAATTCTTTTATGTTCCAAAATCACTTTACACTCTGAAAGATGCCATTCTTCCTCATCTCCTCAAAATCTTTCATAGAATCATAATTTCTGTAGAAATCTGCATATGCCTTCTTTCTTGGTTCAGCCACACCAAACTTATACAAAGCTGCAACCCCCAGGCATACGATGAATGCTCCAACAATATGAATCCGCAGACGCCTGGCCAGGAGGCCATGCATCTGTGATTTTGGCAAAGAGCCGGAAGCCATGGTAGTTACTGTCCTTGATGGGTATGCCAACCTCAACGCGTCCTTCCTGGCTGATGGAGAAACGAACAGCCTGCTTGTATTTTCAATCCACCCCTCTCCATTGGCTCCTTTCCCTTGAATTATACTTGTCCTCTAGCCCTGTGGCCCCCAACCTCCAGGCTGTAGCTGGTACCGGTCCACGGCCTGTTAGGAAAATGGGGCTGTGCATCACCACCTGAGCTCTGCCCCAACTCCTGTGGCCTCCGCCTCCGTCTGTGGAAAAATTGTCTTCCATGAAACCAGTCTAAAAGGTTGGGGACCACTGCTGGACTCTGCAATTCTTCCTTTACCCTGCTTCTTCCTCAAGCTGTTTTCTCATTGCTCCTTTTTCCTTCACCACCAAACTTTTTGAAAGAGTACTCTCTGCTGCCTAGTTCCAGTTCTTCCCCTCATTCCTCTCTTCAATTCTTTGCATGTTGACTTCCCCCCTCTCCTCTTGACCATTTACTTTGTGACACTATCTTTGATCCCCTTCCAACAATTCCTCTCTGTGGCATGTCACACTCTTGCAACTCTCTCCCTGTAACTTTATATTATACTTCTTGGTTGCTATTAAGTCTTTCCTGATATAGTTGCTTCTTTTTGATTTCCATCTTTGGATTACTTCTTCTTTTTTTCTTTACCATCCTTAAAGGTTTTCATCCACTTTCAAAGTTAAACAAGTATTTACTGAGTGTCTACCATGTGCCAGGTACTGTGCTGGCCCTGGAGATGCAGGGATAAGCAAACCAGACACTCACTGGCTCTGTGGTACTTAAAGTCCAGCTTCAAGGAGCCCTACTACACAGATGACTCCCACGTCTCCACTCTTCAACTCTCATGAGATATAGCCATTTGGATGGCTATTTCTTTTTCTCCATCCAAATCTACCTCATCTTAGCTATCATTTCCCCCCATTATTATTTAGGTACAGTCCTCCTATCTCACTGCAGATGCAATCAAGAGCCAAATCTTGTAAATTCTTTTTCCAAATGCCTCTTATTTGTTCCCTCTATCTTATTATCACTAAACTTTGGTCTACATATTTTTTTTTTTTTTTTTTGAGACGGAGCCTTTCTCTGTTGCCTGGGCTAGAGTGCCGTGGCATTGGCCTAGCTCACAGCAACCTCAAACCCCTGGACTCAAGCGATCCTCCTGCCTCAGCCTCCCGAGTAGCTGGGACTACAGGTGCGTACCACTACACCTGGCTAATTTTTTCTATTTTTAGTAGAGATGGGGTCTCGCTCTTGCTCAGGCTGGTCTTGAAACCCTGACCTCAAGCGACCCTCCCACCTCGGCCTCCCAGAGTGCTAGGATTGCAGGCATGAGCCACTGCGCCCGGCCCAGATCTACATCATTATTCATTTACTTTTATAATTGCCTAATAACTAATGTTCTTGTCTCCATTCCAGACCATCCCACACGCTATCCTAGACTAAGCTTTTTAAATAGCATTTTTTATGTTATCCCCCTTCTCAAAAATGTTCACTGGCTCTTTCCACTGCCTATAAAAGAAACTCTAGACTTCTTAAAAGGATGCTGGAAAGATTTAAAACTTTGTAGTTTGAAAGCTCGGGTTGTATTCCCAATTTGCCACATACTCAGTCTGTGACTTTGAATAATCTGAGTTTTGATTTTCCCATATACAAAACAAGATTAATGACTAGTTATAAAGACAAAATACATTTGAAAGTGCTTGATATTTTTAAAGTGCTATAATGAATGTAACTTTTTTCTTTATTTATTCAGCATTACTAATTGAAAATATCCTCAGCTTTGGAGTTAAACAATGTGGCTTCAAATTTCAGCTCCATTACTTATTATCTGTGAGACTTTGAATAAATTAGTAAACTTCTCTGAAGTTGTTTTCGATCTGTCAAAACACCTATTTTGTATGACTATATGGAAATTAAATGAAATGGCAAATATGAAAACTTTTAGCAAAGTGTGTCATTTGTAACATGCTGATTTGTTTTCTTTTGGGCCTAACTTACTTTTCTTGCATCATATCCCACTGCACCTCTTTACAAAACCTATAAACAGAGCTAAGGCTACTTGATTTTCCAAAGCCATACAATGTATGTTTGCATTTCTTCTTCCTCTGCATGCTCTTTCCTTGTCTATCAAAATTATACTCAGTCTTCAAGGCTCAGTTAAAACGCTGAGTCCTCCCTAAAGCCCTTTGTACCTCACAAGTGGTGTGTTAATCACTCCTTCCTCTGCACATTCTTATTTTGTATGTTTATCACAGTATTTATTTCAATCTGGTTTATATTTGCTTCTCCCACCATTACAGGGTCCTTGAGAACAAGGTGGGTGTTGTATTCATCTTTATTTCTCCCACGTCACATTCAGGACACTAGATGCTCAGTTTTTAAATGAATGTAGGAATCAGATGCTGTCATCTCTTTCCACTGCCTACAGGACATCACTTCCATTGATGCCTGCTGTTGCTTCACACCCAAACATGTGCAAAAGCAAGCACATCTTCTCTAAACTGCTCCCTTTTAACTTCACTGTTTTTGACAGTGACACTACCCTAACCCTAGTCTGAGGCTAAAACTCCTGTAACTGTATTTGACTAATCTGTTTCCTTGACTATTTAAGAGCCAAACTATCGGGTTCTTCCAACTCTTTCTGTGAAATAGTTCTTAGATTCATCTTTCTTTTTACTCCCAGTATTCTATACTTAGGAATAATAATCATCAGTGTAATGATGATTATTTCTAACAATTACTACCATTTATTGAGCATTTAAGTTCTGGGCAAAATACTTTGTATACATTATGTCTGTCATCTGATCTTTAAAACATCTTTTTGAATCAGATATTCTTACTTTATAGATGAGAAAAATCAAGACACAGCTTAAATGCCCTGCCCAATGTTAGTTAGTTAAGTGGAAGAGTGAGGATCAAACCCAGATTTGAGGCCAAACCCCTTGTATGAGCTGGACTCTTTCAAGTTGAGAAGAACAAAAATAGGATTTTTAGAAGAGTATTATGAAGATACACAGAAAGTGAAAAAAAAAGCACAGGGCCCTGTTTCATGGAGGCCTACTATTTCCTTTAAAAGCAAAACACACCAACACCGTAGCAATCTAGTTATTTTGTTGGGTTCTCTGGGCATTTGTGGCCCTATCCGTAAGGTGACAACTTCTCCCCTTGCTTCTGTAGCCTTTGGTACAACTGACTTCTCTCTCCTATCTCTTGGTGTCTATTATAATACTTCGTGACTTCTGCTGCCTCATGTCTTTGGCTTTCTCATTTCCCTTCCACTACTATACAACATGGATGCTATATTCAATTAGAGCCATCTCCTCACTGTTTCCAGAACAATTTCTGTCTCTACAACTTTGTTATTACTTTGAACACAAATACTTCCTTCTTTTCTCTCTACCTGTCACCTGCCTATATTTCAAAGCTCCTTTATTACTTCTTCCCAATAGCTCTAATGGATTTTTTAAAAACTAATCCCATGACAGATTATCTAATCCATTCTTGATTACCATGTGTAAAGCCCTCTTGCTTCACATATACCCATGGCATGAACAAGAAACAAACATTTTGAGATTTGGGGATTATTTTGTTTTTGCAACATAATCTAGCATATACTGACTATTGTACTATCTTTGGGTAATTTTTTTAACTTTCCAAATTTCTTTCCTTATCTGTAAAATGGAGATTAAAACAGTACCTATCAAACAAGGGTGCTCTGAAGAGTAAGTGAAACAATACAGGTAAAAGAACTTAGCACAGTGCTAATAGTTTTTTTTTTTTTAAATTTGAATTGTCATTGAATGGCAAATGGCATGTTAGCAAGGATAAAGGAGCATAATGGAGAGTATTGTTTACTTTTTTAAATGTTAGGCTTCAAATTACAAATATTATAGATCTATTAATAGTATTATCAGTAATTTTAGCTGAAAACCTGGGCACCTATAAATTAACACAGTTTAAGATAACTACTATAGAGTTAGCCTAACTCCTAAGAAAAGTAACCCACAGCTCTATTATGTTTCTTTTTATATCATGAATTTTGGGACATGAAAAAAAATCTTTCATATATACACACTCTCTCTAAAAGCTTACTAAGGAGATGTTATCATTATTCTCAAAAAATTGCTAAATATGGGCTACAGATTAGCATATTTCATGACACATCACACTGGTTTTATATTTAATTAAATCTCTCAGCCATATTATATACAGTTTATTACTAGTTGAAGACTGCCCAGACCTGATGAAGATGCCAATAAACACTAACATCATATAAAAATATATAAAAATAATATAAAAAGTGTTTTCACACAATCTCATTTCACTTTGAATCCTTTGCATTATATATTTCCATCTCTAAATTGAAAAAAATGAGGCTTGAAGAGTGAGTTGTTTAAAGTAACAAAAAGGTGGCACTGGAACCTAGTTCTCTTTACTATACATTCCATGCTATTTATGCTACCACAGAGGAGTGTAATAATAAACTATTACTGGAATAACAACGTGTATGCTCTACTGACCTATTTTTATCATGTTTATAAATCATAAATGTTATTGGAAAAAGCAAAATTACTATTACTTCTTTTCAGGGGTGACAAGATATGGGTCAGTGACATCACAACTCTGGGGACATTTTTTGCTAGCTAGCTTTTTCAGATTCATAAACTTGGTAAGGCCAAGATAAATTTAGAAAATACAATAAATCTCTAATCCAACAGTAAGCTGACTTAAAAAAATTTCATAAAGATGGTACATCTGAGCCAACAGTTCATATTCCTGTTTTGAAGAAAATTTTTAAATACTGTTTTTATCAAAGAAATTTTGTTTTGACTAAACTTAGTAGCAATGGAAAATAAGTGTCTACACTTTAGAAATTAAAAAACTAGCAAGAATTCTGGAGAAAATGCTAAATGAAAAAATAGTGTAATAAACTGTAATGTTTCCTCGAGAGCCACACATTTAGGGGTTTAGACGGGATGTTTTAAGAAAACATTTCAAACAAGCCAGTTATCAAGAGCAATGAATCTGATGAACTCAAGTGCCAAGACGGATTTAAATCGTATTCATTCACTTTTTAGAAAGTCCAACATCCCACTATTTAATAATGTAGTCTCTTCTTCCACATGACGGTACAACAAACTTAGTTTCTTAAAAATAATGCAACTTCTGTGAAGAACTTGATACTCGTTGTTATAACTAGTCACTCTGTAAAGGAGCAAGTAGCAGAGTTGCTTTAGATGCTCTTAACATATTTTTCCCCCTCCAGAAGCCAACACACGATACACCATGAAAAATGGGTAAGCTGGAACCTTGCAACTGGGTTCATGGTATGCTAAGCATTTCCACGACGCTGAATGTGACTTCTTGTTTCCAGTCTAGCCATTTGTAGTGACCGAGCAAGTCGCTTCTCTAAATATTTCATTTCCCATAAACGAGAAAACGGGTGGAGGACTATAGAGAGCTTTGATTCAAATAAGGTCTATTAGGTATCTTTAGAAGCTTTTTCTCCAGACGTCGCAGATACGGGCACACGGGGTTCTGCTTTCCCCACCTCCCACTCCCGAGCGCAGGCCCTGTTTCTCTCACTTTCAACCCCAATTCGGGCTCCTCAAGGAATAGCAATCAGAGTTCTTTTTTTGAACAATATCCATTGCTCCTTTGTCCCCAGACCCGGCTAGGAGAGGGTTTCGCGGCCTCAGTTGGTTAAGGGAGGGTAGAGACGACCCAACCTCGCCCGTCTACCCACCCTCTCCCCTCCCGGGTCTGACGCTCCAGCCCCAGAGCAAGAGCGTGCCTGCGGCTCTCCGGTACCGCGAGGCGCGCGCTTGTCCGGTTAGTGTCCCTATGAAGGGAAGGGATCCCGAGGCGCGTGCCGCCACAGCAGCAAGCGGAAGCTGCTGGCACCGAAGACGGGCGGTTCCCGTTGGCGTGGGTGGGGGAAGGGTAGCGGTAGCCACACCCGGAAGTCGGCCTGGGAGGGTGGGGAGAACATGGGGAGACGAGGTTTCCGGTGGCGCAAAGGGTGTCGGGAGCGGCTTCCAGCAAACCTTTCCTGGCTTTTGGAGGGACCACCGTTGCCGCCGCTTCGACTTCCAAGATCTGCGTTCGGGCTGAACGGCCACGGCGACCGCCACTGCGACTCCCACTGTGCCTGGCTCTGTCCATATTCGTTCCCAGGCGGCGGCCGCCGTTTCAGCAGCGGCCGCGGCCGACATGTTGTGAGGCGGCGGCGCGGTGTCTGAAGGATGGTTTGGCCGAGGCGGCGGCAACGGCTGCTGGGGGCGGCGGCAGCGGGGGCTCCGGCTCTGTAGAGCCGAGCCCGCTGGGTGTCCGCCCTGTACCGCGGCTAGGCCAGTGCCCTTAGATCTTCCCTATTTTCCGGCGCTTTTGGGGACCAGTTAGGCAGCAGCGCCCGCTCCTCTGAGGAGGCAAAAAGGTGGTTCCCCAGCCGCTCAAATTTCCGGACCACCTTGCTTTCCCTTCCCCAACCTTGGCAGTGCTTGCGCCAGAATCCTCAGGCCCCCGAATTTCCTCTCAAACGCTCTAAATCTCTCACACACTCGGGTGTTCCCGGCTCTCTAGAGCCCTCTCCTCCTCCTTCCTCAATTTCTGCACCCTCTTCTCCGAGAAACCCCCTCCTCCTGCCGCCCCCGGATCACTCTCCTAGTGCAGCCTTTTGAGAAATCACCGTGGAGTAGTGGACCAGAGCCGGGGAGCTTTTAAAAGTCGGGGCACGAGAGACAGGAAGGTACTATGGCTTCCTCGTCTGGCAACGATGATGATCTCACTATCCCCAGAGCTGCTATCAATAAAATGATCAAAGAGACTCTCCCCAATGTCCGGGTGGCCAACGATGCCCGAGAGCTGGTGGTGAACTGCTGCACTGAATTCATTCACCTTATATCTTCTGAAGCCAATGAGATTTGCAACAAATCCGAAAAGAAGACCATCTCACCAGAGCATGTCATTCAAGGTAAGGCATGTGTAGGATTTGGTTTAGAAGAGGGTCCAGGGGGACAGTCCGCGTGACCCATTCTTATCAAAGCCTTCGTTCCTCTTTACTGGTAACTACTATTAATGAAAAAACCACCCGAACGTGAAGGCAGCCAGTGCCTTAAAAAAAATCTCTGTGTAGCGTTCTTGAGGTACTTTTCGTCCAGCGAATAAAAGTAAGGAGTGCAAACGTTTAGGACAACTAACATCCCCAAAACATAGAAGTATTAAATTAATAGTGGTCTCAATTTACAACCAGGTAAGCTGAAGCAACAAGAATTGCCTGCCTAAAGTTGAACTTAGATAATGACAACTGAGAAAGGAACCCAGAAGTTCTCCCTTGGAAAGTTAACGTTCAGACGGAGGAACTTCAAGAATGAGTGGAGACAGCACTCCTTCCCCACCTGACCTTTTCACCAATGTAGAGAAAAGATTTATTTTCTGAACACATGAATTAAAAAATTCTTAACATGAATGTGTTCAACGTTGTAAAGTTTATTGGTGTTGAATTAAAAGAGTATATTTTCTGCTTTAAAACTGGTTTGATGGTGGTACTTTATCAACAGGTTACCAAAGCACACCTGTTCTAATCTGTAAGAAAAGAGTGTTCTTTAATTTCTTTTCTTTTCTTTTCTTTTCTTTTTTCTTTTATGTTGTTTGCTTTGTTCTATGGAGATAAGTTTTAAAAGCTTGGATTGAAAGGTTATATACTTTTTTTAATGGAACATTTCCCTGTCCATTCTTGCTGCTATTTCCATTTGGATGTGTACACTTAAGCTTTTATTGAACAGCACTTCTGACAGTTTCAACAGTTTGTGTTATCTTCGAAAGTATTTAGTCCAGCAATAGGAATTTGGGGGACTGTATTCTGATGGTTTTAGAGAGGGGAGACGTATTTAATATTAAATATTAATATTTAATTAATATTAAATATTAATAATTAATATTAAATATTTAATATTTTGGGAAGTACCTTCTGTGATTTTTACGTGTGCTCTGATGAAAGAGTTACATTCAATTTGAGGTGATAACTTGCCTTTTGTAATAATCCAATTAAAATCCTAACAGTTTCTTGATTGCTTTTGAGGTCAGAAAAAAAGGCATGGTTAATTTTAATCATTTTGGTAGGCAGTTGTCTACCATTTAATTTTTATAACTTTTTAAGAGGTGACTTTCTTACTATTCTGAAGTAAAGAACGCATCTGCTCATATTGACCACATCCGATATTTTACTGTCAGTATTGACAAAAGGACTAAATGATTCATTTTTGATCCTTCATGGTGTCCTGAAGATGTATTTAAAATATAACTTGCCATTTCAGTACATAAGGAGAGAACTCCCCAGGAAAATGTATATTTGATTCTTAAAGCTAGTATTTATACTCTAGCAAGTAAAATGAAAGCCAAGTTGTCTATTTTTCCTCTTGTGTTTTTATTTTTACGTTGTATGTGTGATTGCTGTCATAAGTCTTTCAGAAGACTATCCAACATAGATAGCTATAATTTCCTTTTACAACTCATAAAAAGAAAAAAGAACCTTTCATCAACATTGCCTTTCTAATGAAAATTGCAAAAGATTTCAACAGGATCTGCCTAAATATTTGTTTACTCCACACAAGTGGGGATCATTCCAGAAATCTAGTACATATTACAGTCTGTCTTCTTGGGGAGAGTTTATTCTTTTCTAGGATATATTTAGATTTCTGATTGACATGATGGAATAGAAGTGCAGCTGTAGCAAGCACTATGCTAAATAGTTCAACTTTGGAATATGCTTAATTGAGTTTAGCATATGAGTCAGAAAGTTACAGTGAAAGAGCATTTCCTTTGTGTAATAAGGATGATTTATTAATTTTAAAAAATCATGTGTTGAACCTGTTATAGTCTTGTAAATTTACCTTTTTTCCTTGTAACATTGCTATTATTAAGTGGATAAGAATCTGCATTTTTGCTCAAGAATTCTCCCCAGTTGGGGGAGTAGATTTTATACATTTATGTAATCTCATATTGCTTAATTATTTCAAGGAAGTTTGGTTTTGGGAGGTTAAAATTTTTAAAAAAAATGCTTAAGGTGTATGTTTTAGACGTTTAAAGTGGGTTCTAACAGATTAATCATGGTAGATATGACATTTTTTTATACTTTTCTATCAGCATTGATTATGTAGAAATGTAGGATATATCCAAGTGGAATAATAATGTACATTTTAAAGTATTATGATTCTCACATATTGAAGTTTGGGGTTTTAGTAATAAATTTAATGAACTAGACTTTGCTTCAGGATATTTCATTTGTTCAGTTTCCACCTTGCTTTATCTTGTCAGGACAAATTAAGCTTTCTCAGGCAGTTCTGTAAAATGCAAGTTAAGGTTGAAATAATTTTATCATCAGTAAGTCTGTGAAATACCATAAACTAGGTAAAAAGAAAACCCTTTTTGTTTCTGTTTTGCTTATTTTAAATTTAAGAAGGTAAACTTGGTATTCATTGCAGGTCACAGATAAATGAATAGAGGAAATTCTAAGCTATAAGGGTGTTCCTTTTATTTCATTGCTGTTTTTGTGAACACATATTCTTGAATGAATTCTACCATGTTCTGTTGCATTATGGAAAGAATTGACATTGAGAATCAAGAGCTGTAAGTTCTACACTGGAAGTTTTGTGGCCTTAGGCAGATCTGTTAACTAAGGTTTCCCCATTTATGTATAAAACTTGATTTCAGGTGTAACTTGAAGTTATTGAGAGAATCAGTCAGGGGTTGAGAACCTTACATTAAATAAGCTACAATAAATAATAATTTAAAAAATTTGTAGTGGTACTGATTAAAATACGAAGCTAAAGGCCTGTTTTGTTTATATCATGGTATCATTTGCAAAGGTAAAATATGAATAAGAATATTTTAAATATTATTTTCTTCCTGCATTTTTAGTCTCTTGCTACATTTTTCCTACTTTTATGAGAATAGTAACTGAAAGTAGTAAAAGTTTGAAAATGTCTCTGAGAATTTGTTCTTCAGCCATTGAGTTGCTCTAAGCTGTCAACGTTGAAGGACATTTTTTTATTCCAGTCCTTCTCACACTGGTACCTTCGTAAAATGCCATAAAAATGGATCTCTAGAAAAACGAAATGAAAAAAAAGATAAAAACTCTATTTTTTTCATTATTAGATTCAGTAGACATAAAATTACTGTGTCAAGTTGCTATAAAGGTTCTCAAATGCTTACTTTGAATTTCCTTACTTAACGCATTACAGACATTAGGAGCAGTTCTGGCACAAGTCCACGGACCATGCTTTGAGTAGCTTTGCTCTAAATCTTAAACCACAGTCTGTTTTGGAAAGTGAATATGAAGTAGTTTTGAAATCAGAGGATCTGAGTATTGTAGAGAAGTTGTAATGATAAGGGGAACGAATGAGAATAATATATTATGTTGCCTAAATTGTTAATACAAATATTTTTTCCAAAGAGGGAACACATGTAATTTGCATTGCACAATTTATCACATAATCAGGTACTTTTCAAATTAGGATTTTATTATTATTTTCCTTCAAATTTATATATTTTTTGTTTTTGGTTTCCTTTTGCCACCCAATAATTACTTATTGAAAACTGCTAAGTACTTGGCGTAGTGCTAGATACTGCTAAGAATATAAAAATGAATGACACTCAGTTCTTTCTCTGCCATTAGTCTCTCGTTGTCCAAGATTCCCAGGAGTAGTGGTACCATGGAGGAGGATATGGTTCTTAGGATCTTCAGAAACCTTTGCCAGGCTAATGAGCCAAGAATTCACTTTCGCTACCTCCTCGTAATGTATTTTAAGTGAAATAACATTTTTCACTTAATGTATTTTAAGTGAAATACATTCCGCACCCCAAACAAAAGAAAATCGAGAAATTAGAGTATGCTGATTTATATAGTATTTTATATAGGTTCTGTATTTCACATAATTTTTTAATGAAAAGCATGCTTTATGCATTCAAAGTATGAAGTGATTCATACAAATTTATTTTACAACAGAACTTTTCAGGAATATGTCGCTTTGTAAAATAACATAAACCTGTATTAAGCC